TGACTTGGTCCAGGGAGGGAAGGAACGCATAAGGAAGACCTCTTGTTCGCCTGCTACTGAAAGTGAAGCCAGAGGCCTTAATGGGCAGCTGTTGTGATGTTCTTGCCAGACCACATGAGAGCCAGCCTGAACTAGGAGGGCAAATGTGGCCTCTTGCATAACTACAGTGCTGTAGTGGTGCCAGGCTGGGTTTTGAGGACTGCAGGCATGATCCACATGGCTGGCCAGTGTCCCCATCAGGTTCCCGTTGAGAAGGGCCCTCAGAAGACATTGTGCTGATGCTGGATGGTCGGTTTTAGCTTCCTTTAGAGAGCAGCAAAGGTTATACATACGTGTCATAACTCTCTATGCACAGCCACTTATCCTTGATGGGAAGCATTACCTGGGGCCACCAGTTGGTACTAGTTTTCCAGGATCTTTTGTCCATGGTGGGAAGAGTGGTGACAGAAGCAGCTGAGGCAGCTGCCCCACCCAGCTGACTGACGTGAGCTGTTTCCAAAACTGGACTGATGATTTATCCAAAGCTCCCAGAGCTCCTGTTCACCTGCCTTAGCCTGATGCCTCTGATGAATGGTGGCTTGCCTAGAAAGAATCCCTCTAGAGAGCTTTGCAGGCTGGAGACTGGAGAGAGCACCACAGGCTACTTGGTAGAAAACGTGTTGGCTGAAGAAGTATCAGGACTAGCAGCAGTGCTGTCATGGGAGCCAGGATGTCTCTAGGATAGATTTCTTTGGTAATGTAGATATTGGCTACATGAAATCTCCCTTCTCCGGATGTTTGTATTTCCTTGAAATAAGCTGCATAGCTTTCATAGAATCATAGAATGCCCAAGGTTGGAAGGGAACTCGGAAGTCATCAAGTCCAACCTCCCTGCACACAGGGTCACCTAGAGCATGTGGCACAGGACTGCATCCAAGCAGGTTTTAAAGATCTCCACAGAAGGAGACTCCACAACCTCATGGGCAACCTGTTCCAGGGCTCTGTCACCCTCACTGTCAAATTTTTTCTTAAGTTCCTATGGAACTTCCGATGCTTCAGATTGTAGCCTCTAGTCCTATTGCTGTCCACTACTGAAAAGAGGCCAGCCCCCTCCTCCTCCCTCCCTCCCTTGAGGTATTTCTAGGCACTGATCAGGTCCCTCCTCAGCCTTCTCTTCTTCAGGCTGAACAGGCCCAGCTCTCTCAGCCTTTCCCGATAAGGCAGATGTTCCAGGTCCCTGATCAACCTTGTAGCCCTGCGCTGGACTCTCTCCAGCAGCTCCTCATCCCTCTTGTACTGGGGAGCCCAAAATTGGACACAATACTCCAGATGTGGCCTCACCAGAGCTGAGTAGAGGGGCAGGATTCCCTCTCTCAACCTGCTGGAGACGCTCTTCTTAATGCACCCCAGGATCCTATTGGCCTTCTCGGCCACCAGGGCACACTGCTGCCTCATGGTCATCTTGTCATCCACCACGACGCCCAGGTCCCTCTCTGCAGGGCTGCTCTCCAGCAGGTCAACCCCTAATCTGTCCTGGTGTCCAGGGTTATTCCTCCCCAAGTGCAGGACCCTGCACTTGCCCTTGTTGAACTTCATGAGGTTTCTCACCGCCCAGTTGTCTGGGCTGTCCAGGTCCCTCTGGGTGGCAGCACAGCCCTCAGGGCTATCAGCTATTCCTCTTAGTTTGGTATCATCAGCAAACTTGCTGAGCACTCTGTCCCTTCATCCAGGTCGTTGATGAATAAGTCGAACAGAACCACACTGAGGACTGAACCCTGGGGGATACCGCTAACTACAGGCCTCCAACTGGACTCCATGCCACTGATTACCACCCTCTAAACCCAGCCATGGAGCTAATTCCTAATCCACCTCACCGTCCACTCATCTATCCCACAGTTCCCAACCTTGCACAGGAGAATGCTGTGACGGACTGTGTCAAAAGCTTTGCTCAAGTCCAGATAGACAACATTCACCACTCTACCCTCATCTATCCAGCCAGTCACTCTATCATAGAAGGCTGTCAGGTTAGTCAAGCATGATTTCCCCTTGGTGAATCCACACTGACTATTCCTGAGCACCTTCTTGTCCTCCATGTGCTTGGAGAAAACAGCCAGGATGGGCTGCTCCCACTTTTCCAGGGATGGAGGCCTGTAGTTGCCTCGGTCCTCCTTCTTGCCCTTTGCCAGGAGCATCCTGCTCATCCACGCAGGTCTCCTGCCCCCTCTGCCTGACTTCTCACACACAGGGATGCACTCTTTCTGAGCATGGAGGAAATGCCACTTGAAAACTAACCAGCTCTCCTGGGCCCCTCTTCCTTCTAGAGCCCTAGCCCATGGGATCTTTCCAAGCAAGTCTCTGTAGAGGCCAAAGTTGGCCCTCCTGAAGTCCATGGTTACAAGGCCACTTACAGCCCTGTTTCCTCCTCTTTGGATTCTGAGCTTCACCAACTCGTGACTGCTGCAGCCAAGACTACCCCCTCCCTTCACATCTCCAACAAGTCCCTCTCTATTTGTCAGTACCAGGTCCAGTAGCCCATCTCTCCTCGTTGGCTCCTCCACAACTTGTGTCAAAAGTTATTGCCAATGCACTGCAGAAACCTTCAGGACCGTTTGTGCCTCGCTGTGCTGTCATTCCAGTTGATATCAGGGTAGTGGAAATCTCCCATGAGAACAAGTGCCTATGACCTCGAGGCAACTTCCAGCTGTTCTATAGAAGGCCTAATCAACCTCCTCTTCCTACAGGTGGCCTGTAGCAGACACACACCACAGTGTCTCCCACATTATCCTGCCCTTTAACCCTTACCCACAGGCTCTCAGCTCACTTATCATCCACTTCCAGGTCGAGCTCCATGCATTCCAGTTGCGCTCTCACATACAGAGCAACTCCAGCACCTTGCCTTCCCAGCCTGTCCTTCCTAAAGAGCACGTAGTCTTCCATGACAGCACTCCAGTCGTTTGAGCTATCCCACAACGTTTCTGTGATTCCTATGAGGTCATGGTGCTGGGACCGCACACAGATGTCAAGTTCATCCTGCTTATTCCCCATGCTTCACGCATTGGTGTATAGGCATTTCAGAGAGGTAATCGAGCCTGCACGTTTCCCAGGGAGGGTGAAAGAGGACCCTCTATAATCATGTCCTAGCTGTACCTCCTCACTACCACATGCCTGTTGGACGCCCATTGACTTAGGTTGTGTGGAATTGATTGCCCTGTCTGTGTGACACTCCCCTTCCCCCTCCTTGCTTAATTTAAAGCCCTCCTAACGAGGTTGGCCAGTCTTTTGGCAAAGACATGCCTGCCCTTCTTGCTGAAGTGGTTCCCATCGTGTCTCACTAGCTGGTGATCATCAAACAGAGTCCTGTGGTCGTAGAAGCCAAAACCCTGTTGCCAACACCAGCGGTGCGGCCAGTTGCTGATCTCAAATATCCGTCTTCTAAATATCCATCTTCTTTGTGAGAGATGACTTTCCTCTGAAAAACCTACCTTTCCTATTATATAATATTTATATTCCTTACACTGATTATATTATTTAGAAGACTTTCTGCTAATTTATTCAGTTCATTTATGAGACAACAATCTGAAACATCAAAAAAAAACCCCATCTCTCACATTAGCAAGCTTCCAGTCTTCTGCTAACCAAGGCACTTTCAAGTGTGAAATTACACAACATGATTAGTAGTAGACCTGTTTCTTTCTTGAATTTCTTTAGTGTTTCCTGGTACTGCAAAGGGCGAGGAAGTCTCTGAACACTCTTGTTGCATATGCAGGATTGTTAGCCCCAGGGAGTTGATTACTGTTTCTTAAGCTTTTTGCAAAGTATGCTCTGATTTTTGCAAGGACAGACTTTCTGATTTTAATAATTTCTCTTCTTCTGTCATTTAGCCATTCTGAATATCCTTTTTTTTTCTCATAGCCTTCCTTCAAGCTATATGCATTTGTTTTGAGCCTGCAATATGCTGGTTTTGAGTAGTCTTTATTCCAGCCACAAAGAATTTTTCAGACTTTTACTTCTTCATTTTTAGACAATTTTTCTATCCTAACATTAAGCAGAATGGTATTATTTTTTTTCCTTGCTCTTGGGGGCAGGGTGAATGCAGTGTGCAAGTATGCTATTTTCTTCAAAATAACATCATGAACTGTAATAACTGCATACTGTTAGGGGCAAGCCAAGAGCTGCTTTTCCTACAGTAAGTTCCCAAATAGCTGTTTTGTAAAGTATACATCAATGGGTCCTGAAGCATAGCGTCAGCATAATGTCCTGAAATGACATTTACCCTATTTACTTGAGAATATTTGGAGTCTCCCATTATGACTACTCTCCTGCAGTTTCTCTGATTTCATCATATTTTTGCCTTTGTCATTATCTTGTTTTCGCAGCTGATAATGCAGCCCTAATAAGATGCCTCCATCCACAATTGTTTTGTTAGCCCAGTTTGACTATAACAAGAATAACAGAAAAAGTCAATGATTGGGTGACCAGGAGCCTGGGAGCCTACTATATGAGAGGAGTTTTGCTGTTTCATCTAGGAAAATGCAGACTGAGAAGAGGATTGTGGTTACCTTCTACAGATATACAGCGAGGGAGACCTACTTAAGTTAACCATGCCTTGGTATTCTTGATAGAAGAAAAGGAAGGACTGCTGTTATTTTGGCCAGGAACTGCTTGCTGTTTTGCACCTTTCACAAGGCTAGGGGAAATCTACCGTTAATGTACTAATGCCTTCTGCACTCTTGCAGTCAAAGTACAGCATATTTCTTGTTCATACTTTGATACAATTCAGTAAATCAGTGAGCAGAAAAAAATGCTAGTCTTTGATCTACAATTAAATGATCACTTAGGGCTTGTTTTTTAAAATTATGTAATGAGTAATCTCAGACATATGCTTCAGAAAAATTTTAATTTAAGAGAGGCAAGAAATCATTCAAAGAGGCAAGAAATCATTCAAACACTTAAAGCAATGGCAATCGCATCACTCTGTTGACAAATGTTATATGTACTTTATTCCTTTTCTTTTCTTGCAGTTTCACATGGCTTTGCAGCCAAGTCCACACCAGCCTGGCAACCCACTTCCGTGGTCAAATTGTTGCAGACTTTGACAAGGAATTCCGGTACTTGTATGCCGAATCCAAAGCTGTGACCAACTTCTGCATGCCAGATCCTGGGGCACGGCCGTCTTCTCAGAATACCTCGAGGGATGGTGAATTCCTTCTAAAAGCTGCCCAGGCAAATGACACTGAAACCTCCAGCCCCTCAAGCAGCCTCTCAAATGTAAGCATCAGAAGCATAAAAATGTCTCCCTTTCTGAAAAACTCCACCTCCAATGTACAGCACGAAAGGCAAGATTTAAGCTCTGATCATGCTAGTAAAAAGGGCAAGGGAGACACATCTCCGAAGCCTCCTTGCTCTAAGCAACAAGGGGAACTACCAGACTCTCCTTACAGTCTTCCAAATAAATCAGCCCCAGCCGGGCAGCACAAACCGACTCTCTACTCTCTGCCAAGACAGGAGCAGAATTCACAGTCCCCTTCGGAGGGTGCCAATAGTCACAGCACGAGTGAGAACCAGAAGGAGCCCACCCTTACCTCCAGGGACCTGACAGCAGAGAATGACAACAATGTTTATGGGATGGAGAAAAGACAGAGTCCTGGACAAGGAAAATTGGACCTGCTATCTCCATACAACCAGCTAAAACGAGACAAGAAAGGTGTGATTCCTTGCTATGATAAACTCAGCGAGGAAATGCTGATGGAAAAGAACAGTGTGTATGGGGCTGAGAAAAGAATGACTCTTGGGCATAGTAAGCTAGATCTGATCACCAAATACAACAAGTTAAAATCTAAACACATACACAGTCGCTTTGAACTCTGACCTGGTTCTCAGGGCCTTGAGTTTGCCTTTCATCTTGCTTACTAATGGTTGTTTTTCCCTACCAATCATATCTGGTGCTTGAAGTCAAAATGCAGGTGGCAAATTAGTCTTGTTTCTATCAAAAAGTATTTGTGCTATGCTGCAGTCTCCAATATGTGCAGGTCACTGATTGAGGTGGGATTAGCAAATCTGATTTACCTTTGCAACTATGGTGGTAAGTGAAAGAAGAATAAACAAAAATCACATCCACTGCCTTTCACCCCTTTTGAAAATGACCATTCCCCTCAAAGCTCTTTAACTCTACACTGTTTGTCCAGTGACATCTTCAGGATGAATCCAGGTCTTCTTTGCATCCAGCAGCTCCTCTGCAGACTGCCATTTGCTGTGACTGAAATGGCAACTTGGTTAACAATAAAGGAGTTATTCTGGTGGAGAGAGCTGTGTTGGGTCCCTCCGTGGGAGATGGGTGAGCTGAGCTGTGCCGTGCCAGGATGACATGGCGTTGTGTAGCCACACAGCTGCCATCTGGGCACTCATCATGGGTGCATGCGGCTGGCATCTGGGCACACGGGTGGCATCTGCACGGCCATTGGGATATCTGGGCACGCGCGGTGGGTGCGCACAGGTGGCGTCTGGACACACCGGTGAGCTCTGGGCACACGGGTGAGGCCTGCGGCCGGGCAGTGCGCGACAACCGGCGCCGGCGGCCCACGGGCACGCGCCACGGCCGGTCCTGCCGGTCCTCCCGGGCGGCGGCGGCGCTGCGCCCGCACGAGAGGCACGGGAGGAGCCCGCCGCCTCTTCCCGCGGCTTCCGGCGGGGGGGAAGGAAGCGGCGGCGCCCGCTGGGGGTGGAGGTGCTCGTGGAAGTCTCGGCCGTGCCGCCATGGCGGTGCGCGCAAGCTTTGAGAACAACAACGAGCTGGGCTGCTTCGCCAAGCTCACCAACGCCTACTGCCTCGTGGCCATCGGCGGCTCCGAGAACTTCTACAGGTGAGCGGCCGCTCCGCGCCGCGTGTCCCTGCCCGCGGCGGCGGTGGCCCCCCCGTAACGGCGCCTTTTCCCGCAGCGTGTTCGAGGGGGAGCTGTTCGGGACCATCCCGGTGGTTCACGCCTCCATCGCCGGCTGCCGCATCATCGGCCGCATGTGTGTGGGTAGGTGTGCGGCGCGAGGGAGGCCCGAGATTCCCGCGGAAACGGGTGGCCCCGAGCGGGTGTTGGTGGCGCGGAAAGGGTCTTTCCCGCCCGTTTCTGCGCCAGGCTAAGCAGCACGAGCAAGAAGAGTCTCTCGTGTTGGGAGAGAAGGCCTGTCTCAAAGGGATTCTTTGAGAACCTTGTGCCTCCTCTGTCTCTTGAATGGAAGAAGTGATTGCAAGTAGTGCTGCTTGCCTCATACTGGTTTCTGCACTGAGATAAGACTGGATTTCACTCCATTTTTCTGTCACCTGTGACACTGTTTCATTTTTAAATGGAAATATTATTTTTCTTGGGCTGAATTCTGCTCCTGTGAGGAGTGGATGGAGCAAAAACAATCCCAAAGTGTTACCTGAGCCTTAGGGAAGCAGTAAGCCCACAGGAAACATGTCTTCAGAATTATTTTGTCCAGTTCAGAACTTATTTTATTCTTTTTTTACTGTTTTTTCAGGGAACAGGCACGGACTGCTAGTCCCAAGCAGTACGACTGACCAAGAGCTTCAACACATCCGCAACAGCCTTCCAGATTCTGTACGAATCCAGCGAGTAGAAGAGCGGCTCTCAGCTCTGGGCAACGTCACGACTTGCAATGACTATGTAGCTCTTGTTCATCCAGATCTTGACAGGGTATATGGCTCTTACGCTTTTAAATTCATAGGAAATGTATTTGCAGTGATTCAGAAGCTGCAGTTTGAAATTTCTAGTTAAGTTTCTAGAATTTCTAGCTCTATTTGAGGGATTGTGCTATAGGAGGCTGTGCCAGGTGCAATTTGGTTTAGGTATGTAAAATTGAAAACTGGAAGATTGTTCTATGAAAATGTAAAACCTGGATACTGGAGAGAATATTGCTGCCACTTTTTATTTCAGACCACATATCTTAGTAGCATGGGAGAGATGTGTTGTGTGGTTCTAGGAACTGAAGGTTCTTAGAATATTTGCTTTCAATTTGTGGTAGAGGTGACAGAGAAATGGGAATTGATGTAAGGAACACCAAAAAGAAAGACAGTGATCTTTGCAGCTATGATTTAAGCAGTATTAAAAAAGTAGATAAGATGTCCAGGAAGGAAGAAGTCAAAATAAGTTATGATGAAACCTCAGAACTTTATCTAGGAAAGAAGGAAGTTCTTAGACTTACCTGAAAATACACTAGTCTGGTACGTCCTAGACTGGACACTGGTCACTGGACAGGGATCAGGTCTTGAAATGGTTCATGTTTTGCCACAGCTCTCTGGAAGGAGTGGGGGAAAATAACATTTTGTGGGAAAGACAGACCTGTGTTTATAGTCCTCCAGTTCTCAGCTCCCTATGCTAGATAACTAGAAACACTTTTGGAATGCCAAGATAAATGAAAATGACAAAATATTTATATAATTAATTTCCAATGGACTGTGAAAGCGTGAGCAGGTTTTCAAAACTGATGGCTGTGTGCAGGAGTAGCTTGACTTTTAATTCTGCAGTACCATTCTATTGAGAACTTTATTCTTGCATCCTGTTTGCAGGAGACGGAAGAGATCTTGGCAGATGTACTAAAAGTGGAGGTTTTCAGACAAACAGTAGCTGATCAGGTGCTGGTAGGAAGTTACTGTGTTTTCAGTAACCAAGGAGGAATTGTGCATCCTAAAACTTCAATTGATGATCAGGATGAACTCTCTTCATTGCTTCAGGTCCCACTCGTGGTAAGAGTGTTGTTGTGATTTTTTTTTTTTTTTTTCCCACTCCCCTCCATCACAGTTCTCAGTTTTAATGCTGCTATGTTTTTGTATTTTTTTTTTCTCTAAGACATTTTCCCTGTCTTTGAGTGTGAATAAGCTACACAGCACTTTTAGTTTGTTGAGGCATTGTTCTGTAGCGATTGCACAACTAGTGCTGATTCATCCTGGCAGAATATGAAGTTGTCTGTGATCTGGCCAAAGGTAACTCTTAATTTCAGTCATAAAATCCTTTCCCTACTGAATTGAACAGCAACAGCTTTTGTTTATTATGAGCTGGATTTGTGTGTTTCAGGATAGCTATACCTTTGTGCTTCCTGTTCTGAATTTCACACAACTTGCTTTCCATATATTAAAGGCTTTTCATTAGTCACCAACTTTTATCTAAAATGTTTATAGATTTATTGATGGCAGAAGTTTTGGTATATTTTCAGGAGTGTGATTTGAGGCCACAGCTGAAAAGACTTGTAACAAGAAAGTGTGTTGCTGCCAGTTTACCCTGTTAACCCTCGGTGGTTTGTTTTTGCCAGGCAGGAACAGTGAATCGTGGCAGTGAGGTCATTGCAGCCGGAATGGTAGTAAATGACTGGTGTGCCTTTTGCGGGCTGGATACAACCAGTACTGAACTCTCTGTTATTGAGAGTGTCTTCAGATTGAACGAAGCACAACCAAGTACCATTGCTACAAACATGAGGGACTCCTTGATTGACAGGTAAGGAGGATCTAACCCTGTGTGTGAGAACAATCTAAATGGCCAAGATTTTACTACAGTGAAGCTCGAAATCTAGTTGTTTTCAAAGATGATTTTCCCTTCTCTTCCCTCGCCCACCAACTCTTTCATTTTATTCAGTTATTGACAAGAATTACCTTGTAACAAAAAGGTTTGTTCTTTCCTAACTCTTTTGGTTCATAAGGGTACACTGAGGGTGACAGAGCACTGGAACAGGTTGCCAGGAGAGGTTGTGGAGTCTCCTTCTCCGGAGATCTTCAAAACTTGTTTGGATGCAACCTGTGCCACATGCTCTAGGTGACCCTGCATGTGCCATGGGATTCAACTAGATGATCTCTTGAGGTCCCTTCCAACCTTAAGGATTCTATGATTCTAAGTTTTATAGCCTGCAACGTGGAAAAGTAAAACAGATCTTATTACAATTACATAATGCTTTCTTTTTGTGTTAAACAGTATTCACTTCAGGTTTCAATTACTGTTTCTCCAGTGCTTATCTATGGCATATATGATGTTTTTGAAAAAGAAGCATGTTCTAAAAGTTAAAATGTTCGTGACTTTGCCTAGGATCTTGTATTTTGACTGTTCTAAGCCATAATGGTTTTATTTCAAGTGCTTGCTAGAAGCATATGTGCTGCCAGAAAGACTTCAGAGCTTTTCTGATGCCTTTGAACATTTCTGCTGGGTTTCTTTTTGGTTGCTTGGTTAATTAAGTTTTTTTTTTTTTAGGCTTTTAGTCCAAAGCTTTGTCTAACTTCCTTTTTAATAGGAGTCAGGTTTCCTTGTTTTCTATAAGTTCTATATGGTGTAGTAGTGATATGGGATATTGCCTATTCTGTGATGTAGGCAATAAAAAATGTATAAGATATCTTTGGAGGTGAATGTGCCATTCAAACTTCATTTGATCTTTTAACTAATTATAACTCTTAGGGTCAATGCTTTTGTGCTAGAGGTGTAATTCTTGAGGTGTAAATTAGAGGTGTAAATCAAACCAAATTGTTTTCATATAAATATACGAGAATGGTTTATTGCATAGGGAAAGAACAAGGAATTCTTTGAAAGAATTCTTTGCTGTCCTTTCACAGGACTTGCATAAAGGCTTGATGTCTTCTGACATTTAGTCATTTAGTATTTTAGTAGTCATTTTAGACAGTCGTCATTTAGTAATGATGTCATTACTAAACTTGCTCTGAATTTTTACTAACTTCCCAGACAGAGCTGAGCATACATTTCACCCTTGTCAACTTGAAAGGCTGTTCTTACATCTGAATATTAGACCCACGCATTCTGGTGAACTCTTTTTCCAACTCGTATTCTAGGAAGGGAAATATTCTAGGAAGGGAAGGGAAAAAGCACTGCTGCTTTGCAAGTAGAGCTTGAGAACAGACTATACTTTGAAATGCCTTCTGCACTCTCCAGCACTTGATCTGCTAAGTCTTATTTCTGTTTTTGTTTGTTTGTTTTTTCAGCTTGACATGAGAAGTGACAGTTCCCACCTTCCAGGAAGCTCCTAAGGAGTGAAGTGTGAGGCTGCACTGTGGAGTACAGATTTCTAGATTTTCTGCTGCAGGCTTATCACAAGGAAGAGGCTACAAATCCACCTTTGTATAGTGTTTTGTAAACTAAGTATGATTACAAAACTGACTAATAACATGTACAAGTTATAAATAAGGAATGCTGTGTATCCCTCTGCTGATATTCTCTAAGAACAATAGAACTCTTTCTCTCTGTCGTACTGAACCAAACCCCCAAAATATTTACAAATATTTACGCCACAATATTTACTCTTAGCTTTAGAGTATTGGGTATTATTTTGCCTTGAATCATGGATCAGTGTTCTGTTGCACAGCACTGTTTCAGCACACATACAGCACTGTCTTCTGTTTCCACACTTCTGCTAAAGAATAGTACTTCTGCTTTAGGTAGACTTAAGGGCCAAAAGTCGCTTGAGCTTACTTGCTACAAAAGCATTTGGAAGGTATCAGCTGCTCTCTTGTCCTGACTTGTGGCTGTTCCCATATGGCAGTGAAAAGGGATTTCTGAAGTGAGAAATAAGTAAAATGTGCTTTCTTAAAGAGATTAATCCAGAGATGGCTTGTGTGGACTGCCTACGTAAGAGTAGGATTTGGTCTGTTGCCTGCATGTGCGTCGTGACCTGTGTGCTGTTTCTGAGGCATCTGCGAGGGAGCCTAGAAAAGCATGCTACTCTCAGTAGGCTTAAACGTGCTCTGCATGACTTGACCACCTATACCGAGAAATTCTTAGAAACCAGCAAATCAAATGAGGTTGAAATGCTCTCCTCTTGATTTACGTAGATAAAAAGGTAATCCAGTTCTAACCAGTTCCTCCATTCAATCATACATTTCTGACTAGGGAGCTGGCTAGTGCAGGGCATCTGCCCTTGTTGGAGAGCAAGGATGATGAGAAGGAGCTTTAGAGACTGCTTTCAGATACACAGTAGTCGTTTCCTTTTAACCACAACTTTTATTACTTAATGTCTCTTTTATGCTTTTCCTCTTAAATGTGTGTTGAAGGCAGAGGAAGGCCTCTGCTTCCTGTACTAAGGGGAGGTAGAGGCACTTGAATCCACACGGCTGCACTACTCACTTGGGTTTCCTGGAGGACATGGAATACTGTCCTGAATGCTCTGTGGGCATTAGCTCTTTCTTGGCCCTTGTGCTTCAGGCTTTATAGAGTATTCAAATTTCACTTTTGTTGTTGATTTTGCTCTTCAGATGTTTAGGGATGCATTTATAAGTATTTCTTTGATTAAAGGATGTTCTTCAAATAAAGATTGCAATAGAATCTTCTCTGAATTGTAACAGTTGTGCCATCCTGGTTTGTCTGGAAGGATAATGGAGCCAGGGTCAACCCTTTTTAGACAACTCACCTTCCATCTGCCTTTGGGGAAACTTTAAGCAGCCCATAGCCCTTTCTACTGTGTGGCTAACAATCCGTTTGTTTGTTTTTATGGCCCCTTTAATAGACAGGGCCACCTTGCTTGCTACTGACTCCATGTCTCCTCCTTTTAGTATTGAGAGCCACAAGCTACTTTGCTTTGCTCACAGGGCCCCATGTAAAATGGTGGAGTCTGTCCTTACTACAAATGTTGGCATGTATTCACAGCTGCGAAGTGAATAAAGTGGGGGCTTTCTTCTGCACTTACGTAACTGCACTTTTTTCATTCTAATTGATGGGTAGGAACCCGAGTTTGCAGTGCTGTTCTTGGTATGTGTTGTGTGCTTAGTGGTAAACAACATCAACAAAAACATCCAGTCTTTGAGAAATCCAGTTTGGATGTTAAACAGAAAAGATACTGGTGTGGTGGTGGAGATGGTGAGGAGCCAAAGAGGCTATTGCTCACTGTGGTGTCTTGTAAAGACTACAGTGATACTTAAAGATGGGAAGGTGGCAAATGTAATATTCGTTTTAAAGGGCAAATGAGATTTTTTGAACTGGTCAGGTGCATCTATATACAAGGAAAATTTATAGAAATTTTAACATTGGAATTAGTGGAAACATGCATATCTGATATTATGGGAGAATACAAGCCAAGTTTTTAATTTGGAATTCCTGACCTACAGAGTTCTTTAAAGGAGTCCACATGCATGGGAAGAGGGAGGTCTTTTGCAACCTACCTGAATTTGTAAAAGATATTTGGAAGATTTTTCTACCAAAAGGTTTTAATGACTCCAAGTAATCCTATGGATTTAGAGAGCAGGAAACCTACCTTTGGTAGTAAGCAGCACAAGGCAGTGTGACTTCAGGCATTGAGAGGTGTTGCAGGAAAACTACAGCTGGGAAACCACAGCTGATTTATTTGTGCTGTGCGGGACAGATAACCTTAGAAGCTATGCGGAAAAGTCAGAATTAGGTGCAGTAGGATGGAGAAGAGCAGTCTCAGGGTTTTGAGGAAGGAAGGAACATCTTGTAACTCGGGGTTTTGTGAAGAAGTTGTGTAGGGCATGTAGCTTTAATACAGCTTTAATTAATGAAATTAATGCTCCAATTTCCTAAAGCCTTTATCTTTCAGCAGAGACTTTTAAAAAGTGGGAGTCCCCATGGAGTGAGATGGGAGGTCCCACACCCACTAAAACTGAGGATTAATGACTAATTTATAAGGTAAAAGCAAATAACAGAATCATAGAATGGTTAAGGTTGGAAGGGACCTCTAGCAGGTACACCTAAAGCCTGTGGCACAGGGTGGTATCCAGGCAGGTGTCGAAGACCTTCAGAGAAGGAGACTCCACAACCTCCCTGGGCAGCCTGTTCCACTGCTCTGTCACCCTCACAGTAAAGAAGTTCCTCCTCACCTGGAGATAGAACCTCCTGTGTTTCAGCTTGTACCCCTTACCTCCTGTCCTATCACTGGCCACCACTGAGAAAAGCTTGACCCCCTCCTCCCTACAATCTCCCTTCATGTATTTATACATGTTAATCAGATCCCCTCCCAGCCTTCTCTTCTCCAGAAAAAACAGGCCCAGTTCACTCAGTCTCTCCTCATACCAGAGATGTCCCAGTCCCTTAATCACCTTTGTACCTCTCCACTAGACCCTCTCTAGGAGCTCCATGTCCCTTGTATACTGAGGAGCGCAGAACTGCAGACAGTACTCCAGGTGCGGCCTCACCAGAGCTGAGTAGAGGGGCAGAATCACCTCCCTTGACCTGCTGGAAACACTCCTCCTGATGCAGGCCAGGATCACTTTGGCCTTCTTGGCCACAAGGGCACTGCTGACTCATGGTTAACCTGGTGTCAACCAGGACTCCGAGGTCCCTCTCCATGGAGCTGCTCTCCAGCAGTTCGACCCCTAATCTGTACTGATTCCTGGGGTTATTCCTCCCCAGGTGCAGGCCCCTGCACTTGTCCTTATTGAACCTCATTAGGTTTCTCTCTGCCCAACTCTCCAGCCTGTCCAGGTCCCTCTGGATGGCAGCACAGCCCTCCAGAGTGTCGGCCACTCCACCCAACTTGGTGTCATCTGCAAACTTGCTCAGGGTGCTGTGTCCTTGTGCAAGTCATTGATGAACAAATTGAACAGCACCAGGCCCAGTACTGACCCCTGGGAGACACCACTGGCCACAGGCCTCCAACTGGGCTTGGCCCCATTTATCACTACCCCTTGAGCTCTTCCTGGTCTCCCTCAGTCTTAAGGTCGGGATCTGAGCTAAACAATCAGCTGCTTGCAGTGACTGTTGCCTCAGGTACAGTGAGGACAGAGACTTGCATCTCTGTCACCACACATTCTCATGGTGATGCACGTTTCAGGCTTGAGTAACTCAGTTTTATCCTTGTCTATTTTTGCCTCGGAACCAAGCATCTTTACAGTATGTACCTGTCATTTCAGTTTCCAGGGACTGAAAGTACTTTGTGCTGTTCCCTGCCATACAGGGCCTTCTAAAACCCTGTACTTTGGGGCAGGATTTACTGAATGCACAGAGAAAAGTGTATGAAAATCACATTCAGCATCCTTTTTTTTTACAGTAACAAGGTAAATAAGAACAGGATTTTGGGAGGACAGCTGGTTACTTTTAAGATACCTCAGCTAAACCTTGTTCTGGATAATACCAGAGCTGACTTTTCTATTTCTTTTACCAAAAAAGCAGCTCAAATACTAAAACTGGATTTTCAATAGCCTTCTGGGCTTGCAACAGGTATCCTTTTGTGCTCCCAGCAGAAATAAAAACATGAAAATATAGGAATAACTACAGTGTCTGGGGTAGGGAGATTGTTTTACTGTTGTGTGTGTGCAGTGATTCTTGATGCTTTGGTAGTGTATCAGCCTCAAACTGCAAGTGTGCTCTACTGGGCAGATGCTGCAGAGTTGACTTGAACTTGTGCCATGGGCAGCTCCTGGATTTCCCAAAGGTTAGTGACTGATCTGAAGTTATTGCAAACTAAAAAAAAATCCAAAAAATTTTAGATTGGAAATCTAAAATATGCAGCATTTACCTGCACCCAAAGGGTGCATCAGAATATGCAGTCTAGTGTGCACCAGGAACCAGCCAAGAGGTAGCTGTTAAACAGAAAAGGCACCCAACTGTTACCCCAGCCTTTTATTCTCCAGGCTTAGCAGTTCCAGCTCTTCAAACCTTTCCTCATAGGAGAGAGGTTCCACTATCTCATTGGAGAGAGGCTCCATTATCTTAGAAACGCTCTGAACTTACTCTACTAGCACCATATCTGCTGGCAATACTCTTCTTACTGCAACCCAGACTACCATTGGCCTTCTTGACCACCCACAAGGGTGGCCACGAAGGGTGGCCACAAGAAGGCCCTTGCTGACTCGATGTCAACTTGTTGTCCACCAGGACTCCAGGTCCTTCTCTGCAGAGCTGCAGATCAGCCTCCAGCCTCTTCTGGTGCATGCAGTTATTCTTCCCCTGGCGCAGGAACATGCACTTGCTCTTGTTGAACTTCACGAGGTTCCTCTCCTCCCATCTCTCCAGTCTTGTCAGGTCTCTCTAAATGGTAGCACAGCCCTCTGTGGTTTTAGTCACTTCTCCCAGCTTGGTACCATCAGCACACGTGCTGAGGAGGCACTCTGCCACTTCATCCAGGTCCTTGATGAAGAAGTTGAACTACACTGGACCCAATACAGACTCCTGGGGGCCACCACTAACTGCAGGCCTCTAACCAGACTGTTCCAGAGCCCAACCTTGAAGAGCCCTTTCTCAACTCCTCTGCTGGCTGACGATGTAGCCAATGCCTCCTGAGCTTGTCCAGAAGCAGGTTATGAAAACCTGTGCTTGATAGTCAGGTTCAAACTAGGTTTGGATGGAGACAACAGTCTGCCTTTTGACATGACAGGGTAAAAATAAAAACAGACACTTCTCCAGACTATAAATTTTGTTTTCCTTTTTTTCTTTTTTTTTCTCTCTCTCTTTTTTTTTTTTTTTTTTTTTTTTTTTTTTTTTTTTTTTTTTTTTTTTTTTTTTTTTTTTTTTTTTTTTTTTTTTTTTTTTTTTTTTTTTTTTTTTTTTTCTGCAAATTGCTCACGGCTCACGGCTTTGGGCTGTCACAGCTTCCAAAGAGATGGCAGCATACAGATGAGTTCAAGGTAGCACATGGCTGTGACATTCATAGTGCGCGCTCTACCACATATATCAGACACATAGGAACATACTCAGCAGCGTGGTGGGGTGTGGTCTAATTCACAGCTCTGATTTTATTTGGTCCTTTGCACTCCTTCACCCATCACGAGACACTATCACATTTTTCACCAAAATTCAAAGTTTTGCATCTGCTTACGTTGCAATTATGTTTAAACACAATAAATGGCTTCTCTATGAAAATTAAATATAAAGAACAAAATGCAATTTGAGACCACTCAGTATGTAGTGGGCTTCACTAAAGGTATCTATTTGCCTATTTAATTTTTCTCAGCGTAATATTTGAGTGCTAGTTAGAAATTTAGAATGCTAAAAATCTTTCTTAATTCTTCTTCCTTATCACTGTAATAACAAATACTTAAAGCATTAATTGGCAAGAAAATAAATATTCTTTGAATTTTCTCATAGTTGACTTTTCATGAAGCTGTTGGGGTTTTTTTTGTTTTGTTTTGTTTTGTATAGTAAGAGGTCAGTGCTTTGTGCTTCCGTTGCACTCAGTAAAATTCACTTATTGGTAGAGGGTCTGTGCTAATCACCTATCTCTTAGGCTCAGCATCTAAAACACTATATATCCTATGTGAATGGCACTTTCCTACAGGACTGGACTTTACCATTACATTGCATTGCAAGAGAGTCTTCTTCCACTC